TGGACCCTTGACAGGGGGTGGTGGTGGGGGGTGGGGGTGGGGTGGGTGGGTTGGGACACTTAATGGGACACAGACAGAATAAAATCCAGTGCTAGCAGTGAATATGAGCACAAGGCCACAGTATGTGCAGAGAGCCCTCTGGAGGCTTGCAGGGTGGAAATGAGGGGTTGGATTCAAGTTCTGGCTCTGCCCATGTGGCCTCGGTATGTGACGTCACTCCTGTGTGCCTGGTTCTGCTCAGCTGTAAAGCGCAGCAGGCAGTGTGAGTGGGCAAGTTTGTTCCTCCATAAAGGGTTCAAGTTTGCCTTCTCAGGTGAGGATGCTTAGGAGTGTGGGGTCTGGCTCTATGGAAAGCTGCTGGTCAGAACCTGAGACCTTGGGGACTGTTCTCGGCATCCTGGGAATTGGGTGGGGAGGTTTGCTAGAGAATAGAAGATTCTGGGGTACGTAAACGGGGACAGTCCAAAAGCCCGCTCTCTACCTAAAGTCTATTCCAGTGACTGTTCCAATTCAACTGGACTTTGGGGTACTTTAAAAGCAGAAAAGAGGAGAAAATCAACTGGTTATTTTTTTCCTTGCTTGCAGAGACGGAGTCTACTGATAATTTTCTGCTAGCCAATTAGGAGCCGCAGAACCCTAATGACGGACTCCTTCTGAATTGAATTAATGAATTCGGTGACTCATTATTATTCTTTTAAAAAAGAAGCCCCAGGAAGAACAAACCAACCATCCTGACTTCCTCACCTCCTTCTTTCTCTCTTGATTACTCGCTTGGCACATATCCTCATGATGTTTCAATTAATTTAAATCATTTTAAGAATTTCGAAATCCATCCACGGATAAATATTTGTATGCACCTATTGTGCGCAAAGCGCCTGTAAAGAGTCAAATTATCTTGGGAATTCTGGAGCGATATGTACATCACGTGACGGCCTGTTAGTAACTCCCGTACTCAGCTCCTGCACACTTAAAGGTAAGCTTATCTGTTGGCGTTCCTAAAATAAAAGATGTATACTCTCCTTCTGGGGAACAAGAGAGCCATGGCTGAACCCAGTGTGGAGCACTCGCCACCTCGCAGGCCAAGCCAAGGGGAGGCAATCATAAACTTGGCAAAGACAGTGCAGGAAAATCGAGACACTTCTTGCTCAAAGAGAGAAGGGATGTAGGACGGGTGGCAGAGCCACCGGGAGCAAGCAGCACGTGGAAACCAAGACGGGAGAAGCTGTGGATGGAAGAGGAGCTCAGAAATTCAGCAGAGAGAATGTACCAGTGGAGCCAGAGAGGAAGATTTCTGCGCTGCTTCACAGCAAGGGAAGGGGCGAGGGGGGAGGGCGGTTTGTGCTACAGACCACGTTGTACCGCTAGGCGTTGGCTCCTCCTCTGCAGGGCTGGAAGTCCTCTGGGGGAGACGAGGAGCCCGAGCCCCGACAGACAGAGGGGAGGAAGGCGCAGGAGAGAACAAACACACAGTGAATTTCTTGCTGCCCCTGGAGGATTCCTTTCGGTGACAGCAGAGGTTAATATCCTGAGCAGCAAGCCACAGCGTGGCCCAGAGACGCGGCGCTCGGAAGGGTTGTTTTCTTGTCCTGTTGTGGATTGTATTGAACTATTCCCTGAAAGGGCCAATTCCTCTCTCTGTTCAGAGGCTATCTCGGCGCAGCTTTCCTGAAAAGTTCAAGGACTTCTCCTATCATGCTCCACCCACCAGGATCCACCTGCAGACTATCCCACCCCTTCCCCTAAGGACCCCAGTCTGCTAGGGAGTTCAAGTTCACACACAGAGACACCGCTGTTTACTCTGCAGAGGGAAAAATAATAAAGGTTGTAGCCTCTTGGTTTCTCTGGTGTCCCACTGTCTGTCAACCCCTAACAGGTGGTCCTGTCCCACCTCATTCCTCAGCAGACTGATTCACTTCAAAAGCAGCTACAGAGGCAGAGAAATATTTTCTGATTTTTATTTTCATCAAGAAGTGAATGGAAATTAAGAAGGGCACTGGATGTGATGAGCACTGGGTGTTATACTATATGTTGGCAAATTGAATTTAAATAAAATATTTTTAAAAAGTGAACAGGAAAAAAAAAAAGCATCTCAGGTGACAAAAAAAAAAAAAAAAGCCCGAGTGAAAACCAGAAAGTGGAAGAGGTCAGAAGCAGACAGGATTGTTTTTTATCTGGAGTTATCGGCAGCATCTTGGGGGAGATTTGAAGTCTGTTTATAACTTTTTTGGGTATGGGCAGGAAACAAAATAAAGAGGTGATGAGGGAATCTTTTCTGAAAGTCTAATTTCTCACACATAAAAACATTAAGATTGGGGGAAACTGAACCACTGACAACCTGATTTCCATAAAGGCTGACCCTATTTTGAATGCTCCAAAAAGCAAGCACAGAAACACCCCACGAGAACCATCTACACCAATCTTCGGAATTAAGTGCTTTTGTGGTCTTGGGGAACCAGTGCAGTCTTTGAAAATAAGTGACTTAAAATCCTTAAACCACTTCCTAAGTGGCCAAGGCCCAACTTCCTAAGGCGGTCTCAGGCCCGCAAAGCCCCATTGGGACAGATGCTTTGGAAATTGAAGGCAAGGGTCAACTGGAGCCCCAAGCACCCACCCTTCCTGCCCGGGGCCTTGGCTAGAAGTGGAAAAAGAATAGCATCCTGAAGGGAGCTTGGCCCAGCCCTCCTCTCCCTCCCCGGAGGCCCCAGGCCAGGGAGAAGGGCCAAACCCACAGCTCCCGTGCACATCACACAACCCTTGGGAAAGTGTTGTAATCCTAACCCTTTGAGGGAGAATTCAGGGGTGGGGGGAGTGGCAGGGGGTACAGCGTGGAGAAAAAGTTAAAGGGGGTGGACAGCACATTTGGGGATGTAGACACCAAACAGATGGAATTTAAACAAAACTACTTCAGCCTTTTTTAATACACAAGTGATCTGAAGCCACCTCTAGCCCTCTTGCCTTCTGGGAATTCAAAAATTGTTTCAAAGATCACAGTACGGAGAATTTGCAAGTAAAACCCTGATAACAAACTATATTTAAACCAACTTACCAATTTCTGAGTATATTTCTCCTAAAATAATGTTCCGTCTTTCCTCTAATTTCTTGGATGCATATCTCCATCCATCTAACTAAAATCCAAGCAAGGCAAATTGCTACTATGATCATTTCCCTAAAGCAACTCTCATTCACTTTGCTTTTCTTCTCTTTTGGAATAGCAGTCTGCCATAAATGTTTAATTAAATGGAAGCCTTTCCACTGTTAATGACAAGCTGCTTGAAAGGCTTTTCATTTTTTAAGGACGGGTGTGTTTAAAACAGTCCCTATTAATTTCCTGATATTGATTCCCTGGCTGGGGAAGAGCATAGAGTATTCAGCATACAGCTCCTCTGCAGACTATGTTCAAGGCAGCGGTTTGGATTGAGAAAGGGCACCAAATGCAGTATGCGTCAAATAGACCATCGCTCAATGAAGTCACTTAGCTATTCAAAACATGTTCAGCCATCACTCAACCGTTTGCACCAAGAATGTTGGGAGGGGGGCAGAAACTGGTGCTCTTTCCCAGACATAACCATTTCCCAAAGAGCGGCTTTTGCTCAGTTTGGGTTAGACCCTGGGGCCACCTCAGTTTCTCCCTCTCCTGTCCGCTTCTCTCTCTTCTCCCCCATCTCCTGGCTTCAAGTCCCTGCATCACTATCCCATGTTGAGCTTAACAAACAATCCTGCAGTCCCGGCTTCCCAGCGCTGCCTCAAACGGCCTCCGGCATTGGTTCATGTCAGAAGCAAAGCACATAAGCCTTTCTCTCCACACAGAAACATGTATCTCTCTGTTCCCCTCTTTCGATGGGTGGCTGTAGCTTGTACATCCACATATGGATATATATAGAGCCACTCAAATGCAGTCCCTCATATTCAAGTCTGTTGCTAAATGCAGGCTGTATGACCTGCAGGAGTTTTTTTTTTCTTCTGTGCTTATTAATGTTTCTCAGAAACACATGCCTTCATCTGTACCCTGATCTCCCAGGCTTGACACCGTGGGGACCCCTTGGCCCACAGCACATGCACAGGCACACATGACTCAGTGACCCTGCAAGATCAAGGCAAACAGCTAATACCCCCAGTCCACTGCCCCCCCCCCCGCAAGCTCCCCAAGCCCTCGCCTCCCTCCCAGCCTCCCTGCACAATGTCTGATGCTCAAGCTGGCTGCAATGCTGACTGTACTCGCTTCTGGATAACAGACATGTCACTCTGCGTGGAAGTGAATTGGTTCTCCGCCTAACCTGCAAGTGAATTGCTGTTTATTAGAACTTGGGCTTGTTTCCTGTGAGAGACGTATGTATTTTTAGACTTTGTAAATGTTAAAATACACACATACACACACGCAGCCAGTCGCCCCAAAAGATATGTGTGGTTCATAGACATTACGAAATGCTCTTGAACTCAGCTTGAGATCCTGGAATAATTAGGATTTACCAAATAAGGATTCTTAGAAACAACAGATTTTTTTTTGTTTGTTTGTTTAAAAGGAGATTTGCAGATGATGATGTGTCTGGGACTTTTGGGGAGTAAGGGGGAGGAGGAGGGGGAAAGGAAGAGCATTTTTGAATTCTTCATTACGAAAAGAGGAGCAATGTTGAGAGAAGCAATTATTTTCCCCCCTCGTAGATGGCAATGCTACACCAAATGGCAAATCCTAATGATTCCAAAGCAGGCAGAGCTCATTCGACTTTTAAAGACAATCTCTTGTTGTTTTCATCATATCATAGATTATTCCAATGAAGAGGTTTAGGGGAAGGAGGGTGGTGGAGGCTTGAGAGTTGAGTATGGTTTTTGCTTATTGATTTTCTTTCCTCTGAAACTAACCCAACCAACCTTGATCTGTGGTGGAAGGAGTGAAGTAAGAAAATGGTGGAATGTAAAGGGGACTTATTTGGAGGAGGGTGGGGAGGGGGAGTGAAAAGGGGAGGGGTGAGGTGGAGAGGGGGAGGAGATGGGAAATCAAATACCTTCTAGGCAGCAGGTTCTCCATAATCCAGAATGGGTCATAACTTCCTCGTTCTTTTTGCTGGTTTCATTCTCACTGACACTTTTGGTCTTGCAAACCCCTCTGGAGTAGAGCCAATAGTCGGTTCCCACAGCTATGGTCATCAGACTGAAGGCAGCGAAAGCACCAACGGTGGTTAAAAGCATTTGAACACCTCGATCAAACAGCCCCATAATTCTTCATTATATAAACACCCAACCGACTTCTGGTTCTCGGGAGAGTGTGTGTGAGGGTGCGAGTACTAAAGCAAAAAAAAAAAAATAAAAAATAAAAATAAAAATAAAAATAATTCCACTACTAATATAATGGATATATGTGTGAATAGAGACTATGGAGAGATATAAAAAGAGGGAGGTAAGAAAGCTCACGGAAAAGAGTGTAAATTATAAAGATCACACGGGAAGAGAGGCTTGCCTTTTGAGATCAGAAACTGTTCCAGTTGCAGTAAAATTTTTTTTTTAAAAAAAAAAGGAAGGAAAAAAATAAAAAGACACCCCCCACCCCCCCAAGTGAGATGCCTTAATCTCTTTTCCTAAAATTCTGGTCTCCAGTTTCCATATGTGACAGCTAATTTGGAGATGGCTTCCACAGTGAACCAGGGAACAGCCGCATTCTCAACACAATCTCTCATGGTCGGGACCTAGACAGTTAGAGACTGTAAAAGCCGGGATGCAACCTTCGGTCTTCGTGCTCGGCTCTGCGGCCTGCGCCATGAAAATCCTTCGCTTCGCCAGTTCTCTTCCTTGTTGGGGGGGGGGGGGGTCTCGGGCGCTTTCGTTTCAGACCAGACTTCCCAGTATTCTGTAAGCCCTTGATCTCAGCTGAACAGGTGCGGGGGTCTCGCCTTCCATGGTGTTGCCCCGGCGGCGGCGGCGGCGGCAGGGCGGGCAGGGCGGGCAGGGCGGGCAGGGCGGGCGGGCACGGCGGCGGCGGCGGCGGCGGCGGCGGCGGCGGCGGCGGCAGGACGAGCAGCGGCGGCGGTTATTGTTGTTGGCGGCGGGGGTAGTGTTGGCGAAGTGGGGGAGGGAGGGGGTTTCTCCCGGAGAATCGAGGCGGGTTTCCCTCCCCCTATCTGCAAAGCTCCTGGAAACGAGGGAGCCGGCGTCTTGCTGCAGGATGGGCCGCCCGCCCGCCCCCCCGCTGCCGGCTCGGCCCCCGGCGGAGGCGCTCCCACCTACTGCATTAGCGGGTGGTGCTGAACTGGACAGCTCCCTGCGCCGCCCGCCCCGGCGCTCCCCGGCTGCTGGGCGGCCCGCCAGGAGGGGGGCGCGGGCCGGTGCTCCTCCTCGCTCCGCCGCGGCCGGGGCCGGAGCGGGGGCTGCCTGCCTCCGGGTACCCCGCTCCCCAGCCCTCCAAGGCGCGCTCGCTGGGCTCCCGGAGCTCAGAGCAAGGCGTAGCTAGAGATAGCTCGCTCCCTCTCCCTCTCCCTCTCCCTCTCCTCTCCCTCGCCCTCTCCCTCGCTCTCCCTCTCCCTCTCTCACTCTCTCCCCTGCCCTCCCCCCCCTTGGTGTTTCTTCCAGCTCAGCCTCCTTCTCATTCCATCTCTACGTGCCCAGAGCTTCAAACACAACCCTCCCATCACAGTCAGATGGCACAAAACTTCAACCCGCCGTTTCTCTGCCTGGAAGCGGTGAAAATATAGCCTGGATGGGTAATTACAAACACGGTCTATACGTGTTTTCACTTTGCTGTTTCGGGGGGTTTGTTTTGTTTTATTTCATTGGCACGTTAGCCGCGTCTCCTTTCGGTGGTTCCTCTCTCTGTCTCTTTGTCTCTCTCTCTCTCTCTCTCTCTCTCCCCCCCATCCCCGGCTCACAGGGGGTGTGCAGGGCACTGTGTGTGTGTGTGTGTGTCTCTCTGTAGTTCTCCGTGAAATTCTGAATCTGCTTCTACAAGCAGACATTTTGGAAGGATTATTCACGGGAAAGGGGGGTGCGAAAGGGTGAGTGGTGGCTGGGGCTCGGGCAATGGTTTTCATCTCGGGGATGAACATGTTTGCAGGGGAAGTGGGTGAAATGTGAATCCTTCTAAGTTTCCGTGTCATTCACAAACTGGATTGGAAGAGATAAAAATCTCCCTGCTGTGAACACTGAAGCACATCAGAAACCAGCCCCCCTCTCTTCCTCAACAGAATGCTATCTTGGGTTAATTACAGCGCTACCTCTTCTTTTTACATGTGCAACTTTTCCTTAATGTGACTCCGGGAGAAAGAAGCCCATCAGATTCCTGCTGTTATTGATTACATTTTTCTCTGATCAGTTTCGTAGTTAAGTGAGTGAGAGCACATGAGGCTGCGTGATGTAGGTGCACTGGTTTTCATTTTTGCGGGGAGGAGCCTAGAGAGAGGTGTGAGTCTGGTGGGTCCGTTGGGGCTTAGAGATGTTTTAATGGCATAGCTCAATTATTCCATACTTCCTTCTCTTTTTTTTTTTGTCTTGAGATCATTTGTTTGACAATCTCTCAGTGATTTGATGATTATCAAAGAGTATATAATAGACGACTGAATTAAAAAACCTTTTTTTTTGATGTTGTCTAACTTTTTTCTCTTAGCTGAGAGTTGGTCTGCAGGTATAACCAGCACATACTTCTTGGTGTAGAAAGATGACCTGTTTCTCCACTCTGCATAAAACTTCCTTTTCGCATGCTCTGTTCCTTTCTCAGTAGGGAAAGACTCCTACGAGGGGCAATTGCTGTGCTCCTGTGCTCCGGGAGGTGGTCCCGGTGTCTGGAGAACAGAGGCACAATTTTAGCAAGTCCTGCTAAGGTGCCTTTAGGATATAGCAAGACACTTGCAGACTGAGGATTTCTCCAGTTTGGTTTCTTGTTCTGTGAGGACGGGGATGGGAATCGGGATGGGAGAGGGGCTGATGTGCTGTTCCACTGAGCAAGGAACTTAGCAAGTTCAGCCAGTGTTCAGGTGGGTGATTTTCTTGGCTATGGTCTATAAGGAAAAAGTGAAGGGCAAGCAGGAAGGCTCCTTACATGGGCTAGGCCTTTCAGGGGGGAGTGGAGAGACGCTTGGCTGCAGCCACACAAGACTGAGCAGCTTGCCTTCTCCTGTGCTTGTCACCTTGGTTGCCTCTGATCTGTCCATGAAGTCCCTTCAGACTAGAGCTAGAGCCCTCCTTCTTATCCGCCCATCCCATTTCAGACCAACCCCTAAGTCTTTTGCCCAAATGGAATCAGTAACAGAGGCTCAGAAACTTCTGTTTGTCTACAGAAGCAGCTAACGTCTTAGCCACTGACCGTAGCTGCAGCTTTAGCGGCTTTTGATTAATCTCCCGGCTAGATAATCATTGAGAAAAAGGAAAGGGGGTTGGGGGGAGTGTAACAGCTTTGGGCTGTCAGTGTGGACAGAGCAGACTTCTGGAGACAGAACAGGCCTGGGGCCACAGATTGCCTCTGCTGCTTAACTGCAGGACTGCAAACTAGTTGGCTTCCTAGAGCCTCAGTTTTACAGTACCTGCCTCTTCCTCCTTTCTGGGGTTGTTCCTAGCACCTCCTATTTTTCACGGCTGCAGCCACCACCATGCTCAGGGGTCAACCATCCCATTTCTAGCACTTTGTTGTGCATGCATCATCTCTCTCACTAACTTATGAGCCCTTGGATGTGTCTTGTTCACTGTGATGTCTTTGGGACCTATCTGATGCTTGATAGCAATGGCTGAGTGATGCTAGTATGAGATAGGTGATGTGCCCTGCACACAAGAGGCACTCCATAAATGTGGCTTCCTCTCTTTATCTCCCCACTTCCACAGCTTCCTTTGGTTCCCAGCTTCCTTCACTCTAACTTCTGTTCTGCTCCCCTTCACCCTCACTGACCCAGCCCTCTCCTCAGGTCCCTTCTGCAGACCAGACAAGGCTACCTGGGAAGAGCTGGCTTGGTGTGAGCCCTGTTACATGGTTTGGGTCCACCAGGCACACAATCTTAGCAGCTGCTGAATGGGTGCTCTTAGGGGAGCAGCTTTGTGTGCCTGCAGTTGGTTACTTGGGAAAGGCTTAGAGGAAATTAGCTGAAATGCCACAGGCCTATTTTGAGCTCCTTCTTTGATGGAGTGGAAATAACATGGGATTTGGGTGCAGCAGACCTGGCCTTGAAGCACAAGGCTGCCATTTCCTTATTTTTGACCTTGAGCAGTCTCTTAACCTCCCTGGAAGCCTCTCTTCATCTATCAAGGAGGACCATGGGAGGAGCCTCACAGTGTGGTTGTATCACAAGTTAATAGCAATAACAAAAGCTAACATGCCTGAGACTGATCTAGGCTGAACCCCACAATAATTCTATGGGACACGTATGGTCATGATTCCCATTTTACAGATGAGGAAACCAAGACATGTAACAATTTAAGTATCTGACCTAAGGCTGCCCAGTTAGTGAGTGACAGCTGGGAGTCTAGTCTAGCAGCCAAGCCTAACAACCTATGGCTTACCCACTGTTCCTTGACCCAAGATACGACCTCACATTGAGGTGAGGAGAATGTCAGGTGAAGGATGCTGGGGGCTATGAAGTAGGGAGACCAAGCCCAACCTAGGGGGTGAAGGACATCCCCCCAGGAAGACAAGATATGTAAACTGAGACGTAGGAATGAGAAAGAGTTAGCTAGGCCAGGATGGGGGTGAGAGGATGAAGAGGAGCTGAGAAAGGGAAGAGCATCCTAGGCTGAGGGAACAGCATGTGCCAGGGTTTAAAGGTATGCACAAGTGGGAAAAAATGATTGCCCCATTTTAGGAAAAACATGCTAAGTATGGCCTATCTAAAGACAGTGATGGGAAATGTTTTAGGCTAAGAACTGGAGGCCATGGAAAGGAGGTTGGAGCCTAAGAAGCAACCCAGAGGAGCTTGGGGGACAGGGAATGTGAGAAGCAAACCCAGGGGCAGGGAGACACCAGGGCAGCTGTGGTGGGGGTCCCCAGCAATAGACAGTGGTGGCTTAGACCAGCAGTGGCAATGGCGATGGAAAGAAGTGGAGGTATTGGGGGTGTTGGGGAGAAAATTAATGCATATTGGTCTGTGTTATTGAGATAGCCACTCTGAGGAAGAAGCAGGCTGGGGAGGGAGTGGGTGTAGGGAAGGGGGAGAATTCTGCTGAGAATTCTGCTTTGGTCGTGCATGTCCTTTTGCCACATTCTGTTGCCTCTTCACTCCCTGCTCCCATTCTTCCTCTCCTCAGCA